TTTAAGGTCTTGTATATTTAAAATTGCACATATATTAGAAGAGGCTTGGAATAGTAGGAGCACTTATTCCCATTTATTAATAGTTGTCCTAAGTCAGACCTTGGTGACTTGTCACTTGTATATCCAAGACGGCCATTGGCCTGAGGTTCAGGCCCCCTCCAACCTTCTACAGACATGATCTCCAAAGAATAAAAGGAATGAAATATTAAGGTTTAAAGCTCATCCATGCACTCCCATAGCCTCTCTTTACTTTTCTATTTTGCCTGCCTCTTTGAAAACATGTAACACGAATTGACACAGTGTGCAGGTATACACTTCACAGCTATGTATCCATGGCGGCTGGGCTCTGAGGCTGTTAGCTGATAGAGGGATATAACAGAAAAAAACCAAGAGACACTGCTTTAGCTTATTGCTTCTCAAGCTTGTACGTGCATATGGCCGGGGATCTTGTTAACAAGTTCAGATTCTGACTTAGTAGGTCTATGGAGCCTGAAATGCTGCATTTCTAAACAGTTCCCAAGTGATGTTGCTGTTACTGCTCCAGGGACCACACATAGAATACAAGTGCCTAGGCCAGGTGTCCTCAAACTATGGCCAACAGGCCACACGCAGCCCACCTAGGACATTTATCCGGCCTGCCGGGTGTTTTTGCCACCACTGCCTGTCCTGCTTAGCAGCTGACTCGTCCTGGGGCCCGCAGTCCATCCCCCCAACAGTCTGAGGGACAGTGAACTGGCCCCCTGTTTAAAAAGTTTGAGGATCCCTGGCCTAGCCCAACATTGTTCCTAAAATACAACTGTGTCCACATCATGCCCTGGCTCAGTGCACTTGGTGCCTCAGGCACAGTGCTTCTACACAGGAGGTGATTCTGTGCCCAATGCCTGGAGATATTCTTAGTTGTCATAACTTGTGCGGAGGAGCTACTGGCATCTACTAGGTGGAGGATATGGATGTGGCTAACCATCTATGACACAGGGAAGCCCCCCTACAGAGTTATCGGCCCCCAAATGTCAGGAGGGCGCAGAAGCCTGGTTCAGAACAAGGCTGAATTCTCAGCAGGGAAGGAAGGGTCTTCCCCAGCTCGGTCGCCTCTTCTTCCCAAGTGCCTCATGACTCAGCTCACGTTTGTACGTCCCCCTGGAATATCATTTCCTTCCTTTTCTGCTGGACAGACTCCTGTGCAGGTTGAAATACTCAGCTCAGAGTTCTCCTCCCCATCATGAAACCTTTCCAAGCCTTCCAAATAAGAACTTAAAACTCATTTCTGTGTTTAAATTCCTATTACAGCATCCCCCTTAGTTTGCCTTGAATTGTAGCAATGCACAGGTCTGCCACCCCTTTGGCTGTAAACCACTTGGGGGACGCCCCATTGTGTGGGCCTTGCATCCTCGTTAGGGCCTAGTAAGGGGTTCGTGTCCTCTCTGATGGTTATTAAAAAACTGGGGGTAGAATAGATGTAGCCTTTGGATTAATTTTAAGTTTACACATATTTTTAGAAGAAAAAGAGTAAAAAGTTGAAAATTCTGTGCTTTTTCTTTGAATAATTATCTCATTACTGTGATTCTAGATGGAGGAGGTCATCTGAAGCAACTGGTCACAATCAACCTGTAAAGGGATTTGGGGTGACGGGCATGAGGTTTCAGAAGTCCTGCCTGTGCAGGTGGCGTGAGGGGGAGGTGAGTGGTGCCACGTTCTGTCCGGTGCGCCGCAAGCCCCGCCTCAGCTCATGTGGGCAAATACTTAGAAAGTGTTCAGTAAGGCCCTCCTGAAATGACAGCTGACATTCCTCATTTTACACTGTCTGCCCGGCTCTAGAAAGCACAAACATTTGCTCTGCTCCGTAGTCAGTGGCCTGTGTCCTCTGGGCAGGATCCAGCCTATTGCCTTTTTCCTCTGGCCCATGAGTTAAGAATTGTTTTAAAATTTCTAAACAGTTGGAATTATTTTAAAACAAAATCATTTCTTGGCATGTGAAAATTATATGAAATAAAAATGTCGGTGTCCATAAATAAAATTTTCATGGCTGTCGGCCACTCCCATTTGCTTTGCCAGTGTCCGTGACTGCTTTTGTTTGACAGCGGCAGAGCAGAGAGGGGTTATGACAGAGATCCTACAGGCCTGCCAGCCTCAACACTTTACTATCTGGCCCTTAACAACTACGACAAAACCGCCAGCCCTGGTTTGGCGCTCGTAGCACAGTGGTTATGGTGCCAGCCACGTGCATCGGGGTTGGCAGGTTCGAACCCAGCCCGGGCCAGCTAAACAACAATGACAACTGCAACCAAAAAATAGCCAGGTGTTGTGGCGGGTACCTGTAGTCCCAGCTACTTGGGAGGCTGAGGCAAGAGAATGGTTTAAGTCCAAGAGTTTGAGGTTGCTGTGAGCTGTGATGCCACAGCACTCTTCTGAGGGTGACTAGTGAGACTCTGTCTCAAAAACAAACAAACAAACAAAAACCCTGCCAACCCTTAGTCCTCATGGTCTACACTCCGTGCTCAGAGATCGCATTATGTAAACTGCGCCGAGCTCGGAAAGTGTGTCCCTGCTACGTTTTTTGTACGGAACGCCTGTAGGCTATAGTTGGGGAGCTGGTTGGTGGACATTACCATGCATTTGGTTGCTGAAGACAAAATCACGATCTTTCCTGTCTATTTTATCTGGCTCTGAAGAATAGGTATTGATATTTTCTTCCAAGTACCAAGATTGGTTCTCATCAAAAATCATGAAGTGGAGAACACGGTGAACCAGGTTGGGTTTGGCGTCTTTGTGACACACAATCAAAGGGCCGACCAGTCCGCTGTTGAGATCCTGAAGAGGCAAAACAGGATTATTAACTGTGCCCACGGCCCCACCCCACTGCCCAACACTAAAAACAGTAAAATCGAGTTTGGGTTTTAGTGAGGTCAGATCCTGACTTCATAATGATTAGTATTCTAAGTCTCAGAGGGAGGAATGAAATATTTGACCTGCTCTATCCTTGGGTGAAGAAAAATTGTAACCTCACTCATTAGAGTTGACGTCTAGGGAGAATGACACACTTCTGAAAGGGATTTTAGATACATTCTTCAGTGGATTTGGCTCTATTTTTAAAATTTTAATTAAAAAATGAAACTTTGGTTTTAATTAGAAAATTCCCCGGTGTTGGAGTTGTGGGCAGGGTCTAAAGGGCTTAGACTCTTCACCCTTATACAGACCCTACAGCAGCTTTTAGCTGAGAATCGTGCTTTGTTTTTCTTCTTTTTGAATTCAAATAAACTTGAATTCCACAGTTGAGAGTTTTAAGCACATATACATATGTGTATGTATATATATCCATAAATATATATACTGTATTTATTTATCGTTAATCATAAAATGTTTAAACTCTCTGCAGTACTTTTTTTTCTATAACCCAAATATCACTCACTGGAACAAAATATAGTACTATATTATTGTATAATTAGGTATATTTTTCAACTCACAGTGAGACTTTATAAAGGATCATAAATCCAAGTAATCATAATGAAATAAGTAATTTTGCTTTTGAAAATGCAAGCCTATGTAAGGATAAAAGCTGAACAGTATGTACTGTACTTACTAGAAAGTTTACATAGGACTAATACGTATTTTTTCAAATGGTAAACACCTGCTTCTTTCCATTATCATTTTTAAGAGGAGATGGGTTAGAGACTTTGATTTGATTTAAAGTTTACCTTAACCACGGACTCAGTCGAATAGTAAAACCAAGGGATGCACTCAAAGTTTTTTGAGGTAGGACCTGTTCTTTCCGGGATCTTCCAGATATATGTTCGAATCTCTCCTAAAATAGGTGAATTAGGTGTATTTAAATAGAGCCTTTTAAATTAGACTTCTTTATGGTGAACTAGATAATGAATAAAAAACTATAAAAATCTGAGGCATTAACTGTCCCATCTTTTACTTCTGGTTTCACTTTTGCTTTGATATCTTAGTCCACTTAGCAATCAGTGAATGTCTGATGCCTTGACCTAGCTCTGAGCCTTCCAGTTTGTGGGTCACATGTAGCTCCTCCCTCCCCCCAAAGATGTTTGCATTAGTGCTATTG